TATTATTGTTGGTTGTTTTTTTTTTTTTTTTTTTTTTTTTTTTTTTATTCATCTCGTGGCGATCCTCTACGCTAAAATATAATTAATATTATCGTAAAAAAGTATTCGTTTTGTTAATATTTTTCCCCTAATCGAAATTGCCCCATAGTATAATATAATTTAATGTATAAATATATTTTTTTTTGTGCCTTAAACTGCATACATAATTATGTACTTAAATATAATCATATACGCATAATGCGCGTACCTATATTATTTTTTATAATAATAATTTTGTACACGCGGATTAAATTATTTAAGTAATAATAATATTATAATATTTTGCCATTTATAAAAATAATTTTCAGAAATATTATTAGAGTAAATATAAACGACGACAGCTAAAATTCAATTATAATTATACGTAAACAATATTATGATGGTTTAGGTAGAGAGCCTATGTATAGTAAAAAATCGGAGAGCGGGCGACGGTAGTTCACGGTTTCGAGTTGTATAGTATTGTATTCGAGTTCGATAAAACAGTTTTTGAAGAAAAAAAAAAAAACTAGGGAATCGTGATTCGTGAGAATTCTAAAAACATTTCTCTAGAGGGAATCGTTTTCTGTTTTGGCTACGCGTAACGGGCTCGACGCCACTTTGCGATTTGCTCGGACAAGTATACTCAATAATGTAAAATACGTCTGGCGTGTAACACCGCGGAATTTTAAGAACGCATATTCGTCACCTCTATAATAGTAGTAAGTAACCGTATATACCGTACAATCGCGAAACGGCGAACTTAGGAGGAAACACTTTATTAAAGAGTTTATTCGAAATAAGTATTTCGATCTTCAAACAATTTACTACAATAGTATTGCGGATGTCGAGATTCGGCACTGAGTCGACCGGTGTTTGTAGGCCAATATGTGCGGCCTATGTACCTGCGTTCAACTATTTTGGAATATTTCTGGACAAGAATGTTTTTTTTTTTTTCGTTTTATTCGGAACGCTCAAACGCGTGTATGCAAAACGGCCGACAAGAACAGTTGTCCACTCTCTTATTAGACGTTGTTCTGGCGTTGTAACCGCGCGTATACTGCAATATACTAATAACGTTCAATGTCTGTACAAGTTTCAGTTTAAACGGAAAGTAGCGAAACTGTTGTTGTAGAAAATCGTTTCCCGGGTCGTAATTTCCGAACTGCACGGTCGCACAACAGAGTTGGAATTTTCAGATGACACGGTTTCGTCGCGACCGTGCCGGGCGTTGTTATTAACGTATCGGTCGCGCGCTTCTTTAAACGTCGTTCGTCGTCATCGAAACCGGAAATAACCATTTATCATTTTTCAACATTCACGAATAATATAATGCGCCTGTCTCTACAAATACGAAATAATACGTTTCGGAGTAGGTATATGACAATATTTAATATGTATACATATCGGCGATGTGCTATAATTAACGGCAGTACTGATCATATTATAGTGTAGTTGTACGAAAGAAATAACGAGAAGAAATGATATTACGATTCGGTTTTTTCGGCCGTAATATTTGCTTTTCCTCGATTACTCGCGAAAACGCTATCAAATTTTTCGGTACCCGAACTCTCGTTTTGGCTGTTCGTCGTCAACCGGTAAACAGAATATTATAAAATACCTGTACCTACACAAATATTGAACGTACACTCGGTCGCTATACACATTTTTTACAACGTCCAAAACACGTCTGTAATAGTGTTGTATACACGGGCTCTCTAAGTACACATAAGGAAGTCCACCCGGAATCGGGGTTTGAATAATGGGGGTGGGAGGAGGAATACAATCACTTCCCGCCCCCCACCGTTTGACCGCGATCGAAATTAGTTTACTTACATTATACTTAAAACGCGCTTATAAATGTAATACCTAACAACACTACCATCGCTGCGGTAATAGGAGAGGGAGGATGCGAGTGGATTCGTTCCCCGTCCTCTACCTACTGACCGCGCTTGAAATGCATCCTCCTTAACGCGTCTGTTATAATCTTTAAAAAGTATCGACGGGCATTTCCCGTGCTCTCTTAAAATAAGTATTATAATAAGTTTATAAACTGTTAACTTAAAAACGACTTAATTTTAACAGTTAATAATTAATTAATTAATAATAATGAGCTATTCGCGGATGGCGATACGCTATATCATTATAATAATATTATCATCCTATAAAATCATTGAACTGCTATCAGCATAATATCATTATTATGACGAATCGTCATCATAATAACAATAAAATAATAATCATCATTGATGATTATTGTATAGAAATATACATAATAATCATCGTTGATGATTATTTGATAGAAATATACATGAATAGTCATATATATTCATACCATGGAATCATTGAACTGCTATCAGCATAATATCATTATTATGACGAATCGTCATCATAGTAATAATAAAATAATAATCATCATTGATGATTATTGTATAGAAATATACTTAGTAATCATCGTTGATGATTATTTGATAGAAATATACATAAATAGTAAATATACTATTATATATTATCCACGCGAGTATTATCGCGTGACGTTTATTGTACGGTAATTTTTTTTTTCTCTCGGTATAAAACGCTACAAATAATCGTCTTTACATTACCAACACTATTGATGACGATAATGATAATGGTTTTATACAGGTACATAGATATTATGTGTTTAACGATTGTGAATTGCAAATTGGTATTATTATTACAGGATTCGTTTTCGGTCCTATCGTTTAAGTTGATGATTTTTATAACGATTGACATTATGCGCGATACGGGACAATAGCGACGACAATAATAATCGACAGCGTCCACCAATCGGATGTCATTGTTTCGCTATATCGTATCGCGTACGTTTCAAATTGGAAAAAAAAAAAAAAAAACAACATTCTGACCGATTTCAAGTATAAACCGACGCGCGCGCAAAAAAAAAAAAAAATAATAATAATAATAATAATAAAATACGTGTGATTTACGCGAACCTAACGATATTTCCGTCGCGCTATAAACGTTACCAACGTATTCCGCATGGAAATCTATCGGCCCGCGCACGGCAGGCACGCGAACTGTTCTGCATTCGCGTGTTATAGTCAATCCGTCCACTCCGCGTTCAACACGCAAAACCCGCCGTCGTTAACGTTTTCGCACGTAGCGGTTTTTTACGGATCTGCCGAAACGGAAAATCGCGGCGGGCAGGCGAACAATTTACTCCGGTTCGAAGCGCGGAGAGAAAGCGATTCGCCGTACGGTTTTTCCGGACATTCGCACTGCGACACGAGCCGGTCGTCAGTCTGTCTCGTCCGTCGTCCTGTTGTTATTACGGCCGAAACGCTCCGACTCGCGAGGATTATTTTTTTTTTTCTACGGCGATATTGTTAGGACACCACCACACGCAGTCCCGGCGTAGATATTTATACCGTTGTCCGTCGCTTAAAATTTTTAACGCTGTTGTTTTACCTCGATCATCTCGTCTTATCTTAGAAAAGAAATAAAAAACAATAACGCCGAATCGGATTGAATCCCCACCCCCCCTCCGGATCGGCCGACGGTTTCTACAGGCTGCTGGCGCCGACAGTGACGCGAAATATTAAATGCGCCGGCGATTTATGGCCGAGGATATCGGAGAAACGGACGGGCCCGTTGTCGCACAGTCTATTGTCGGGCGGTCGGTTTTCGTGTTTTACCGAAATTCAGTGCCGAAAACGGACGTCGTCGCGTCCCGTCCGTGCATTTATCCCGTGCGTTTAATATCGCGCGCCATATCTTTAGTGAAATTGCGATAATCCTCGCGACGCGCCCGGCTCGCGGACTCGATCCGGCAGACACGTTATCACGGGTACCTGACCTAATCACGGCGCGGGCAACTATAACTATTACAGGGGTACGTGTCATCGGCAGACCGTCGTAAACATTCGATTTCGGGCGCGGGTGGTCGCGGGCGTTTTTCGCAATCGGTCGATTGCGGTTACACGTTGGTGACAAAACTCCGTTGCTCCACCGCGACCGGCGACGGAATCGAAAAGAAACAACAGTGTCGTCCAGTTTCGTCCGGTGGCCGCCGATAAGGACAGGGCCTGTAGGTGACGTACCGCGGTATCTGCACGAGTGATCGTCTCTCCGATGGAGGAGAAGGGGGGTTGGCCTATCCCGTTCGCTGTCGAATATGCCCAAAGCTCCCCCGGTATAACGGCTGAGCTTGATTTCCGTGTTTCATACGTATTTCCAAAATGATAGCCCACTTCCCTTCTCCTCGGGCCCGTTATTTCGCCCCGGGTCAGTCCATACCAGAAATCTCGTATTCGTCAGTTCGCAACCGAGTATCGATTGAACGCGAGAACCGTGTTTATAAAAAATATTGTACTCTGCCGCATGACGGCGTGTCGCACGGCATTCTTTAGAACGCAATCTGCGAAAACCGCCGACTCGAGAAACCCCGCAGTCGCGTGTCTACCGAAATCCACGGCCCTACGATTTGTTTGTATCTGTCCGGGTAAGATTTTTAACGCGCGTTCGATTCCGAACTGCGCGCCAGTCGACAATATAACCGACGACCGCTAATATTATTTGTGACATATCGGAATTTCGGTTTTTTCGTACGGGTTGTTTTGTGATTTTTTAAAATGTTTTAACTTTTTTTATTGATTATTTATCGCGTTTACAATTAGGCCGCGGTAATATTGAGAACGTTTTAAAAAAAAAAAAAATAATAATAATAATAATAACAATAGTTATATACACGTTATTCGGCCGTCCCGTCATACCCGCGTCGCCTGTAAAATTATCATTATACCGTACACTTACGCTAGACTTACACTCGAATTTTTTTATGTTTTTTTTTTTTATTTTTTTATTTTTTTTTTTGTTTTCCTATAATAACGCGCGGACCGCAGTCGATTATTTAATATAATGGACGTTCACGATGAGATTAGTTTAAACTCGACAATATTATTACAATAAAATAATAATAACCGCGTTGAAATTATTATTATCATCATTACCGTTATTACAATTATAACACTACGTGGCGCACACAACGACTGCCGGGAACAATATATTGTAATGCATATTGTTTGTCTAACTTATAATAATAATCGACCGACATTGTAACGACAACATACCGGTGCTTAATAGTAAATATACTTTGTAATATATATATATATATTGATAATAAATTATTTGTTTTTTTTTTTTTTTTTTTGTTTTTT